TTCAATTGTTTCCAACTGCAAGATCGAAGTGTCACTCTTCGATTATATCAATCAATAAAGCTCAAATTCATCAATTCCTAATCAAAATAACTCACATAAGCAAGAACAATTTCAAGCCTGAGAGATACAATTCAAACAAGAAAAATCATTCCCCTATCCCTAGCGACAAAAATTAGCTACGTAAATCAAATTCAACAATCATAATCAATTCTCTAAATTCAACCATTATTCATGAGTTAAACATTAGAGAAAAGAAAATTACCAATAATCTCAAATCCACGGGTTGAATATGAATTACAAGCTTAATCCCAAAAGCAAGAACAAATTCTAGATAAAAAATGGAAAATAAAGAATAAGAGAAGAAAAAAAGATCGAAGAAGAAGGAGAAAAAAGGGAAGAGAAGGAGATTGAGTGTTTTCTCGGGACCTAGGGCTTACACCCGGTCGAGAGATGTTTCTTTCTAAGTCCCGTCGTGTTTTTATATTAAATCGGTACCGTAGGCAGCAGGAGAGCTTGGCGCGGCGCGGAGCAGCATCACGGACGCGACACTGGACGGTCTGTCCGGGTCGCGGCGTGCGTCGCGCCGCGGTGATGACGGATCGATCTTTTGTCTATACTGGGTTGCGAATAAACGACGCACTGAGGCCTTCGTTTATCCCCGATAGATGTATCTAGCAGACGCACTGCGGCCTTCTCCTAGACACCGTGACTTCAAGACGCACTATTGGCCTTCTCTCCGACACTGTATGTAAAGACGCACTAATGGCCTTCTTTGTCACACGTTAAGAACACAAGATTCCCCCTCAAAATTGGCTCACCAATTCAATACTCAATTCAAGACATAAAATATTGATGGGGTACATGGGGTATTTATAGTTGCCACCTATCTCTAGATCTAATCTTACTAGGAAACTAATAAAACAATTAAATATTAAATCCTAAGGCTAGTAAAGCAATAAAATCCTAAACCTACCAAAATACTAATGCTTGGCTTGCACACCAAGCAATTCTAGAATGCTCCCTAATTCATCACATGCTAAAACCCTCGGCGCCCCAATTCCTTC